TGAGTTCATTAAATAGTCATTAGCTAAAAGACTTTGTAATCCGGGGAGCAGAGCCCCCCCAGCCAAGGCTTCTCCTTATCTCTCGAGCATCCTAGCTGGTCGCCTGCCAGCTTTTTCTCCCTTGCTTTTTCTACGCAGCAGCACTAGGAGATGTGGAAGTGACCTTGTCAGGGCTGACAAGCAGGACTAAGGAATGGCTTTGGTCCCCTCCATCCACCTGGGAGGGCAGGAAGGTTTTGGCTGGAAAAATAAGCTGGTGAGTTCCATAGCAGGAGCCCAGCTGAGGATAGGAGAAGGGTTGTTGAGGTTGAGAGCAGGCAGCATCAGGTTTCGTGTCGGGCTTGCAAGCCTTGTGTGGGTTTCATGTGGCTTCTACCCTGCAGCTCTGTGAAGATGCTTTGCAGCAGCAGCTTCCCTTGCTCAGCACCTGAGGCTCCTCCGGAGAGTCCTCTGAACCCTGGCTCCAGCAGCGCTGTTTGCCCACGGCAGGCAGGAGTGACTTCTGTGCTGAGCACGTGGGGCTGTAACATTGCTTCGAAGGTGGGTGCTGGAGCTGCTGGGAAGGAGCACAAGGTGGCTGCCCTGTGAGCGCATCTCAGACCAAGCACGAGACACTCGATGGGTCTCACCTTGACGGCTGTCTCCAAGTTCTGCTTTCTGAGATGGGAAGCATCACCCACCATCCAGCTTCTTTCCCTTATAGCCCTTCTGCCTTGGTGCCTTCAGCGCACATGGGTGTCACATCTGAGGTTTCTTTGCCTGAGCTCTCTGTTTCCACTCAGATTTGTGGATGAACATCACGTGGGAGATGTTTTGGAGTGAGTTTCCACAGGCTAGCTGGCTGGAGAGCCAGTTTGTTGTCAGGGTTCGGATCCTCCCTGCCCTGATTGTAAACCATAATATGAATGTTAGTTCTCAAACTGAGGGTTCCTTGTTCCCTGCCAAGCAGATGGGATGATTTGGTTCGCCTGTGGCTGAGAGCCTCATGAGAAGCTTTTGTTTATAACATATGCTGCGCTGAAAACGCGCGAAGCTCCCTGGCAGCTGAGATGCTCTTGTAACTTGGGCGTCCTTGGCTGGTGCGTGTGTCTGTGTGTGCACAGTTAATTGGAACGAGCTCACCAGACGGGTATTCACCAGGTGCAACAGCAGAGGACACCCCCAAAGGCATTGTCAGAGCTGCAGTGACACGGTGATTGCCCTGCTCTCTTCTGTGCTGATGTGATTGGGGCCCTCCCTGGGTGAGCGAAATGGAAATTAAATTCTCGCTTTGCAAGTCAGTGTCGAAACTTTTTTCTTTACTCCTTAAACAAAGAAATGATTGGCTTGTCTGCAGTGTCTAATTTATCTGGAGCTTGTGGAATGTTGACAAATACCACTCCAAGGCGTACTTCTGAATGCTGCTGCAATCATTCACTGCGGAGTAAGATGTTTAAGGAAGTTATTTGGAAGTGATTTGCAAGGCTGTAACTTTATTGAGGTGTTTCAGGGGCATTGTAAACCACCAGACTTGAGACCAAGTCGGCCAATTAGGATACTGAGAAAGCTGAAGGCAGAAAACAGCCTCCACTCCAGCCTGGAGCTGAAGAATTCCCAAAGCCATGTACGCTTGAACCGTGTGGCTGTTCCCTCTGTGTGGAACTGGTTAAGGTGGCAAACCCCCACTCTTTACTGGGTTGGTGGCTCTTTCCCATTGTGGTACTTGCCAGGATGAGATGCTGCTGTTTTGAGAAGCTTCTCACAGCACCCTGAGCCTGCGCTGTGCAGTGTCTCTCTGCGTTAGAGCAGAAGGAGCTCGGCAGCAGAGAAATGAGCGGGCTTTAGCTAATGAAAAGCTCTTAACTCTCTCCTTCCCTGAGGTCCTGGTAATATCCTCCTGCTCAGCCTGGCAAGGCAGTAACAGTTGAGGAGAGATGCTGGGCAGCCCAGTTTTCAAGTCCTGTCAGTTGTCTTCGTGGTTCTACTGGACTCTGGGAAGCCACCAGCCCAGTGACAGTTATTGCTGTGCTGGTGGGTGCATGGTCACATCAACGGTTCCCTGGGTGGCTCCTGTCCCTCCAGGCTGTCTGCAGCCACCAGATAGCCCATGGTGATTTAGGGAGCAAGACTAGGCCCTACACAAAGGGAATCCTCCCTGAGAAGCATGAACTACCTGCCCTAAGGTAGAGTCTGGCCACTGGGCAGGGAGGAGGCGTTGGTGTTGGCAGGAGGGATGCAGCAGCGATGTGATAGCAGGATTTAACAATATGCCTGGTCTAAGAGCAGGTCTGGGGAGGTAGAAAGGTTTTGAATGGATTCTAAAATTGCTGTGCGACTTGCAGTGACGATAGAGACTTTTAGCTTCACTGGAGCGAAGGGAGCCTTGGGGAGGAGGCTGAAGCTTGGATGTCCATGGTGACCTTCAGCTTGGCACGCTGCTCTGATACATCTTGGTTTCCTGAGGCAAGTCAGGAATTTCTACCCTAGCCCTGGGCGTATTTCTTCGTTGCTTGTCTAGGTTGTTATAGCTGTTGTGTCCTGGCACAGACGGTTCCTCTGCCTGGGCTCAGGGCTCTGTACCTAAAGCTGGGGTGCCCGAGCTGTCTGTGCCCTGAGCCTGGAGCGGAGGGGGAATCGCAGTCCCTCCTTACAATTCTGGGGTGGGTGGAGGGCTGGCCAGGGTGGGGAAGGTAGAGATCGCCCTCCAACAGACAGGGGTGGTGGGCTAGAAGGGTGCTGTGTTGGGGTTCCTGTTTTCTCCTGCCTCTATGGGGAGATGTGGCTCTCTTCTCAGTTTTGCTCCTCTCCTCCCGACCGGGGAGGCTGATCCCCGCAGGCTGCGGGGAAGCGGGGCTGGGGGGCTGCGACAGTGCCGCACAGCAGGGCTGGAGGGTCAGGGGAGCTGCGAGACTGGGATGGAGGTGTGGGGGTTGGAAGCCCTCTGGAAACAAGCGTTGTGGGTGTGATGAACAGGATTAGTTTCAAGTGAAGAGAAATTACAGGTAGAAAATTGGAATAAATAATCCAGTTATTCTCAAGACCAAATCATAAAACATTGAAATCCAGATTAATGTTATATCATCCCTGTTAGATTGCTTTTGAAAGAGAAAGTTATTTCCAGCTTTAAACCTTAGCTCTTGCTGCAGCATGTCCTCGTCTCTGTAGGACAGTGCTTTGCTCTTGTGTTTCTTGCAAGAACATAAGGAACCCGCAACCTTGTCATGTCCTAACGCTGCCCAGTGCCACGAACGTGCACAATAATACTGGGGCTGTTTGGGGAGTAAAGGAATGAAGTTATTGCCTTCCTTGCAGGATGTGGGTCAAACCTGAGCGGAAAGGGATGGTCATCTATGTATAGATTAAGGGGGAATGGCTTCAAACTGGAAGAAGGGAGATTTAGATGAGATATTAGGAAGAAATTCTTGACTGTGAGGGTGGTGAGCCCCTGGGGCAGGTTGCCCCGAGAAGCTGTGGCTGCCCCATCCCTGGAGGTGTTCAAGGCCAGGTTGGACGGGGCTTGGAGCAACCTGGGCTGGTGGGAGGTGTCCCTGCCCAGGGCAGGGGGTGGGACTGGATGGTCTTTAAGGTCCCTTCCAACCCAAACCATTCTGTGATTCTATAATGTTTTGCTCTATACAGCAAGTCCACACAAAAGATGATGTGGAAAAGCAGGAAGCAGGAGGAAATATGATCTGTGATTTTCACTTAATGCCAGGATGAAAAAAAACTTTACGGCAGAGGTGTGTTGGAGAGCACTGGTCTCTCAAGTCCCAGAAAATAAGTGGGCAAATCCATCTGTTCCTTGGGTCCTGTTAGCCAGAAAGGGAGGGGGAAATTATTTCTAGTCCAAAGTAATGCTTAGCAAATACTGTGCCTCCTTATCTTTGATTCTTTTGCTGGTGTTTGAGACCCACTTTCTGGGATTGACTTCTCTTTGTGCCCTTTCTTGCACACCCACTTTGGGTGGCGCAAAGGAAGAGGGGTGGTCAGCAGCCTGGCAACTGGAAGAACGGACTGTGGACCTGTTAACTCCTGTTGCTTGTAGGATAAGGATGCGGGAGAAAAACTGCCATTAGGATAAAGTCTTAAGTGGCCCTGCTCTCACATATGTTGCATTTATAATTGAGCTAATTGCTGATGTTCCTTTAATGGTTCCATGCTTTTATTTCTGCTGTTACAGCCTCTAATGCCTGTAGGGAGCCTTGAGTTTGGGTGTTAATAAGTGAAAATTAGGGCCCTCATTCTCCATGGAGAAATGCTCTTGGGCACTGTGGTAATTTCATGCCTGGAAGGAGTCATATTTGCTGGATAATTTTTGTAACTTAAACCAACCGAATTAGCCTTGAGAAACTATAGTTCTTAATCAGAGTATTGAACTCCATGCTCCATTAGTTAGAAGCATCACCAGGCTCCTCACACAAAGGGTGGACATTTGGTTTGCAGAGCAGGGAGGTGATCTGATTTTTGTTAATGCTCCAGGCAGCAGCCGTCCCTGGGTTTGAGGTTGCTCATAATACTCTGAGCTCTCAGTAGGGTCAGGCACAAAGTCACATCACGTCAGCTGCTCTTGCAAAATGAAGCAGCTGAGTGACATTTACCTGCCTTCTGTTCCCACCACAAAACTTTTAAAGAATAATAAAGGAGAGCTTGGATATTAATAGAGATTTGGTTTGTAAGTCCAGTAAAAATGGGGTTCCAAAAGTAGTGGAAGTGGGAGAAGGTGAGAAAAGCCATCAGGCCCTGGTGTGTGTTTGTGGCTTGTGGGGCTGCACCCACCGCAGAAGGCTGTTTTGGCTCAGGGAATGTTTATTCTGGGGTTTTAGTTCTATGAATCTTCACTCTGCCACTTCAATACAGTCTAATCATGGAACGGGGTGGGGAGGCCTTATGTTTTCTGCTTCTGAAGGGTGCCACAGCCTGGAGGTGTGTCCTTTGGGTCTGCCATGAATGGAATTCTGCATTTACAAAGTCCCATTATTTTTTTTTATTTTCTTTTTCACTCCTTCCAGGTGAGCTGAGACATGGCCACTGGCAAGCTCCGGCGGTCCGTGGGGTCCTCCAAAAGGACTGATGGGTTCCAGAGCAAAGTAGTAGCACCTCGTAATGTGAAGGTAGTCAGAGAGGCAGAGGAGTCTGTAACTGTAAGTACCTGCTGTGGCCTGGTAGGAGCTGTGTTAAGGCTGGAAAGTCCCCTTGTGTCCCTCTGCTGCGTTCCCCTCCTGTTGTCTGGCAGCACTGTGAAGCTGGACATCACCTCCCCATCTCTTTGCTGCTGTGCTTCTGTTGGGGGTGGTTATCGTGGGGGATGGACTGTGTGCTGCTGCAGGGAAGGTCCAGAGTCTTGCCTGGATCTGCCACTGGAGCCCAGTTAAATCACTGTACTGGGCATTGCACTGGAATAGTGCATGTACATCGCATGAGCACGTTCTTTTTTCCATCCTCTTTGTGTGATCTTCTGTCATATAGGCATATCTTCCAGCACTACTCTGACCATACCTGCCCTTTCGGCAGCTGAGCATGGGGTGGGCTGCTCAAACACTGCCTGAAGCCCTGAGAGACATGGCTGGTCCCACACAGAACAGGTTCCAAACCAGTTATTGTATCTCGTATCCTGTGTGGAGCACACATCCAACCCTGCAAACAGCCATGGAGTCAGGGCAGTTCCTTCTTCCCATCCACAAGTGTCCCTTTTTTTGACTGGAGCTCACCTGACTGGAGATGACCTCGTGCTGAGGCTCTGTCAAGGAGATATCTGTATACTTCTGTGGGAGGGGTCTGTGAGGCTGGAACAGAGAGAAAACAAGTGCTAATTAAAAAGAGACAATTAAAACTTGGGCCCATTCCTCTCTACTGCGGTCTTGGCACAATGCTGCTTTCCTCTGATTCACCCGGCAGTGACATCTCCTCGCACTTGTTGGTTGTGAGCACTGTGCAAATATGGAGTTAGGGGATTTCTGATAGCTCCTCCCCACTCTCTTCAAAGGTCACTGGCTCAATCCAGCAAAACTAAGGAGGAAATAAATGCCCGAAGAGCAGAAATCCCCAACCATGTCACATCAAATCATGACAGAAGCTAATGGGACAGAGCCACTTGGTTAGAGCATGTGTATTCCGCTCTATATCATTAATTTACCGATGTTAAATATTTCAGCAGGTAACTTACGGGACTTCCAGGACTATCCTCGTGGCTGTGGTCACGAATTATTCATCAGTGGCACTTGAACAAGAAAAGCCTTTCTGAACGAAGGCGTTTCTGTAGCTCTCGCTGATGTTTTGCATTTCAGCTGACTCCCTCTGCCTTCCTGAAGGAGATGTCTCTCACCACCGAGCAGAGGCTGGCCAGCACGCGGGAGATGAGGCGGCCCCGGATTATCCAGCTTCTAGACATGAGTGAAGCCTCCCATCAAAAGGTAGCCTTTTCCTGCCCTTTTCCTCGCTGTTTGATGTGACATTTGAAGAGAGTGCCAGCTTGTGAGAGGCTTACCTCCTCCTAAATACCTCGGTGACGAGGTCCTGTTGTCTTTTCAAACTCTGGTGATGGTGGAATTCCTTCTGCTGGGGGAGAGGTGAAACATCCTTTCCCCGATGAGACACTGAAGTCCTGATCTGTGCTAAGGCAATATAAATAACCTCAGCTGAAGTTTGGTGGGCTTTGCTGGAGTTTAGCGACTATCGCTAAATGACGATACTGGGGGGAAGGCTGGGGCAGGACACAGGAGCAT